GAAGAAGGTTTAGATACGACGGGCAACAAAGCGCAGTTAGTATTGCGTCTGACAGAGCACCTGAAAGCAGACGAAATCCGCGAGCCAGTAGATGTGATCAATTCACGAATAGATAATATGGAACGAATGATTCAACAACTTGTAATGGGCATAGAAAACGTGATACGAAGTAAACCTACGGAAAACGTGAGCGAAAAAAATGAGAATCAGAAGACGGGAATTACATCTACAGTGGTTAACGATTTACCACAACATGGGTCGGTGAAAGATATCAGCGAAACGATACCCGTGTTCGATCCAACAGATAAAAATGGTCTTACGGTTGGACAATTTATCAATCGCGTCGAAAGATCTCTTAATGCATTCCAATGGAATGAAAAACAACTATTGCTAGCCGTTTATGGAAAGTTAAAAGGAGTAGCGCGGTTGTGGCTGGATTCTCTACAAGAATTTGATAGCGAGTGGAGCAGTTTTTCGAATAAGTTGCGTGCAGAATTTGATGTAAAATGTGACGAAGCTGACATTAATTTTGAATTGAGTCAAGCGGTACGTAATGTTAATGAAGGCATCATTGACTATTGTTTTCGAATTGCGGCACTTGGCCGACGATACAAGATAAGTGATAGTGCCATTATAAAATATACTCGCAATGGACTAAACGACACTAAATTGCAAGCGGCGATCGCACCGCTACGGTTTAATAATTTAAAAGATTTTCGCGAAGGTGTTGAGGACTTTTTACGCAATATGCAACATGGAACGAACAAAATAGCTTTGGCAAATTCATCGTCAAATCCGATAATAAATTCGAGCGTAAGTGGAGACGCAAATGAAAACTCCGGACAGAAACAGTTTAGAACGGAACCGAAGGTTAGAGCTTGCTTCAATTGCGGTGAAGCGGGACATTTTTCGCGCGAATGTTCAAAGCCACAACGTAGACAACGGTGTAACAATTGCGGAAGAGTTCACCCAAAAGGTCAGAGTACGCACTGTGGGGAGTCAAGTGTGCGTCGAATTGAACGCACCAAAGAATCGATCAGAGAAGTATACATAAATGGTAGACAATGTACAGCACTACTTGATACAGGTAGCCAGTGCAGTCTTATACGGAAAACAGTATCGAGAAATATTAATGGTCTGTCACATCGTAGTTATGATAACGATCAACAGCGTAACTCGGGTCGTCAAGAACATTACAACTACGATGGGCAGCAACAGCAAAATGATGAGACACGTCAACGTAAACACCGTCGACGACGTCAACGTCAAAACGGTCAGCAACGTCAACGTAAAAACGGTCAGCAATCACATAACGATAACGGTCAGCAACAGCACGATAACGATAATCAGCAACAAATAAAGTCACAATGTGGTCTGCAGCAATGTGGCGATGGTCTGTCACATCGTAGTTATGATAACGATCAACAGCGTAACTCGGGTCGTCAAGAACATCACAACTACGATGGGCAACAACAGCCAAATGATGAGACACGTCAACGTAAACACCGTCGACGACGTCAACGTCAAAACGGTCAGCAACGTCAACGTAAAAACGGTCAGCAACGTCAACGTCAAAACGGTCAGCAACGTCAACGTAAAAACGGTCAGCAACGTCAACGTCAAAACGATCAGCAACGTCAACGTAAAAACGGTCAGCAACGTCAACGTAGAAACGGTCAGCAATCACATAACGATAACGGTCGGCAACAGCATGAAAGCGATGGTTATAAAATACATAACGGTCGGCTGTATCGTATGGTTGATGATAAGCTTTTATGGGTCGTGCCGAAACGTTTAAGACATCGAGTTCTTCGGGACTGTCATGATAGCGCAGGACACATGAGCGTTGAAAAGACGATAAACCGAATTAAAACCCATCTATGGTTTCCACGAATGCGAAACTTCACAAAGAATTATCTTAAATCTTGTGTTGAATGTGCGTATAATAAACAGCCAGGGGGGAAAAGGGAAGGAATTTACCATTTCGATAAAATAGAACCTGTACCATTCAAGACCATACATATGGATCACTTAGGACCATTTCCTAAAAGTGTGAAACGAAATGAATATCTACTCGTTATAGTAGATGCTTTTACGAAATTTACCGTACTAAAGCCAGTTAAAAGTACCGCCACAAAGCACGTACTCAGCGCATTAAATGAAGTTATAAGTTACTGTGGAATGCCAACGAAAATAATTACTGATCGAGGGACTGCGTTCACAGCGAAAGATTTCGAGAGGTTTTGTACTCGGAACCATATTCGACATATTAAAAATGCAGTAAGAACTCCACGAGCAAATGCTCATGCCGAACGGACTAATCGAACAATATTATCGATGCTGTTACCAACAAATACGGTTGACAAACGATGGGACGAAAATATGGTAAGATTGCAATGGTGCCTAAATACGATGGAGAATGCGACAACGAAATGCACACCGTACGAGTTGCTGTATGGTTATCAACCTCGTGATATACTTCAGAACGCATTAATTCTAACTCTACATAACGACGACACTCTGACTACTGATCAATTAACGGATTTACGCAGAACGATTGCAAAACGAATTACTGATGAGCGAGCTGAAGCTAAAAGCCGATACGACAAGCGGTACTTACAGCCAACGAAATTTCAAGAGGGTGATCTACTATTAGTCCAAAACGAGCCGTATAGCACGGGTGAGTCGAGGAAACTAGAGCCGCGTTATAAAGGCCCCTTCATTATTACTAAAGTACTCGACAAAGACCGATATGTAGTCAACGATTTACCCAACTCCAAACGAACACAGCGGCAGTACACCTCGGTGTATTCGTTCGATAAGATCAAGCGATGGTGTCAGTTGCCTTACGATGACAGTAGCAGCGAGGCTGATAACGACGATGATGACGACAATGATAATGTTGCCGAATCGACGGACAAAGCGGGGTCGCTTTGAGATGTCAGGAGGCCGACTGTAAAAACACGAAAAATTAAAATACGAAAATGCAACCATGAGTGTGCAAAAATAGCAAATCGAGCGTTTGACGTTTAAAGAGGAGTATGGCGAAATACGACGCGTAGAGTGGAGGTTTTTTTGGTTGCTTTGGAGCGAATGAAATAATATATATATTAAACACTGCTACTATCAATATAATAAATAAACTAGGTTAAAATCTTAAAAGCTTTGCAAACTGTTTTATTTTACAATAACTTAACACTGTGTTGTATTGATGTGTTTTAGTTCGTGTTATTATTGTTTTTAGTGCACGTTTATGTAGGTGGAAATTTAGTGTAAATTTCCATCCTTACAAACTATATACGAGATATGATTGTGATACACACACCACATGATAAAGTCCGTAGTATCGCGTTGCAGAAATCAAACCCATCACTAGAGGAAGTACTACAGATAGCAGCAGTATATAAAGCAACGGTTAAAACATGTAAGGAAATTAGAGGTGAAGAAATCAGTCAGACAGTTGACGAAGTTAGTCACAGTTCAAGTAAAAAAGTTAAACAGAATCGAGGAAATATTAAGTTCCGAAATTCAGTGAAGGGAGGACGATTGTGTCCAAGTTGTAGGAAAGCACATCAAAGAAATCAATATTATCATTTCAAGAATAAAACAAAGTGTCGGTTGTGTACAAAGCAAGGTCATATTACTGCAGTTTGTCAATCAGCAGTGACAGGGATTTAGCAGAACTCTAATTTTAAGGTTCGAAAACAAGACCAAAATAGAGCAAGAGATGTATACTCTATGAGTGATGTTTCATTTGAGTCAATTAATGCGAACGAAACAACGGAAGTTAAATCAGTTGATTCGCAACCTAGTTCATCTAAAATTTTCGTTGATCTCAATATAAATAACGAAATTTTAACATTTCAGGTAGATACTGGCGCAACATGTTCATTAATTGGTTTGGCGGCATATAAACAACTGAATATACCTAGTTGTGGGCCTACGAACAAAGTTCTGAAAGCATATGGAGGAGCTGTTACTTCACTTAAGTGTTCTCTCAGAGTGATTGTCAAGTATGGCAATATTACTCGAAGCCTTGAGATACTTGTAGTTGACGATGAATATGTTACTAAAATACTGGGATTGTATTGGTTTACAATATTAAATTTCAAACTGCAGTTACCCGTTAATGAATGTTATGCAAATAATCCTTGTGGTTCAAGTCAACATAGTTTAACAGTATCTTTATATGAATTTAGATGTCAACATGCTAACATTTTTTCTTCGAAATTGGGGCGAAGTACGTTGTTTAAAGCTGAAATCAGATTAAAGCCAAATGCTAAGCCTAAATTCTTTAACTGTATGGGACGTTCGCCGTTTGCGAAAAGAGAGGACGTTCGCATAGAAATTGATCGGTTGGTAAATATTGGAGTTTTGACAGCTATCAGAAGCAGCGTCAGAATTGGTGTAAATTCGCAAATTGAGATTGACAGGTATCTAATTCCTAGAGTAGATGAACTTTTTTATAAACTTCAAGGAGGACAATATTTCACAAAAATTGACCTTAGTGAAGCGTACTTGCAAGTAGAATTCTCTGAGGCAATAAAAGAAGTTCTAGTAATCTATACCCCATTTGGTTTGTTCCAGTTTTAAAGATTGCCATTCGGTATTGCCAGCGCTCCTGGCATATTTCAACGTCTTATGGAAGAAGTAAGGATAAAGGATGCTGTGTTTAAATGGACATCATATCATGACGATGCTTTTCAAGCATTGAAGAATGCTATGATCAAAGCTACGGAACTCGTTCATTATGATGATAACAAGCCTATAGTGTTAGCAGTAGATGCATCTAAGTATGGAATTGGCGCAGTAATTTCTCATCGTTATGCTTATGGTTCAGAGAAGCCAATCGCGTATGCTTAAAAAAAATTAAACAGCAGGCAAGAACGTTATTCTTAAATTGATAAAGAGGCACTATTAATTATTTACGGAGTGACCAAGTTTCATCAATATCTTTATGAGAGACAACACTGTTTAATCCGGGTAGAAAATTGCTAGTGATGGCGTTGCATCGGTTACAGCGTTGGGCTATTGTACTTCAAGTGTATGAATACATAATACGGTTCAAAAGTTCATCTCAGAATGCCAACGCCGATGCTCTTTCCAGATTGTCGTCTGGGGATGACATACAATTTGACAGAAAGGAAGTTATGATGTTAGATGATGTAGATACTGTTTACCAAAATGCTGTCGATTACCTTCCAGTAAATGCAACATTAGAAAAGGATGTCTCAGCAAATTTGTAAAAGGGGGCTGGCCTGAATAATTGCCGAAATCTGAAGGTGGTATCAAAACTTACTTTAATCGCAGGTTTTGCTTATCTTTTCAGAATGGAGTGTTACTTCTTCAGGCTGAATACACTAGAGTGGTGCAAGTATTAAATTTGTTACACGAGGGTCACTGGGGTAAAGGTCGTATGAAGCAGTTGGCAGGACAATATGTGTGGTTTCCTTTTATTGATAAACCTATAGAACGAATTCATGATGATTGTTCATCTTGTCAACAAGATGCAAGTCAACCAAAGCGAGAATTTTCTGCATGGCCATAACCTAGTAAACCGTGGGAAAGAGTCCATTTGGATTTCGCGGGTCCCTTATTTAAACGTGTGTGGCTCATAGTTGTGGATTGCTATTCAAAATTTCTGAGTTAAATATTGGTGCTGTGTCCGCCATGTCATACCATTAGCAAAAAGCAATACTCAACCATATTCTACAACCTTGGGCCAAGATTCATTGTTAGAGGAGATTACAATGTCAAACAAACTGCCTAGGGGTCTCGGCTGATTACTCCTGGTAAAGGCAATGAACTACTCGATGCCATAAATGAAGCAAAACACACTTATCACTCATTGCGTTCTCCTACATACTGGCCTACAGATAACAACAAAATTCCTGATCTGATCGACTTCTTCATTTCGAAAGGGATATCATCTAATTTTATAGCAACAGAAGGGTTGGAAGATTTAACGTCCGCAAATGTTATCTAAAAGAAGAGAAAATCAAACCTTTCCAACAAACACACAAATTGGGACCGATTTAGAGAAAACTTAGATAACTATATTGACTTGAAGGTGAGACTGTTCATAAAAGCAGACCTTGAGAAACAAACACTGCACTTTGTTGATCAAATACTTGCAGCAGCCGCTGATGCTACCCTGATTCCAACAGAACAAATTGATCAAGAAGCTCTATATCCAGTTGAGATCAGGAATTGAATCAAGGAAAAAAGGAAAGCAAGAAGTACATGGCATAGAACCAGAAATCCAATTGACAAAATAATCTTTAATCGGCTAATCAATTCTGTTAATCAGCTAATTAAAAATTATAACCAAATAAGTTTCGGGCAATACCTAAGTTAACTGGGAACCGAAGCAGATAAAAATTATTCATTGTGGAAGCCAACCCGTCGCCTCATGCCCCCACTCGTTCAGGTGGCAGCAATCAAAAATGCAGTCGGACAATGGATCAGAAAAAATGATGAGAAAACAGAATTAATTGCCCAACATCTTGCCGCAGTATATCAACCGCTTGAAATTCCACCTGTTGTTAATACAACACCTGTATACCAAACATTGTCAACTATGAAATCCATAACACTTATAGAAATAGCACAAGAAATTGATAATAACCTCTGTTAGAGCGGTTAAAGTCAAATTGTTAATATTGTAGGATTCTGTAGAATTATTATAATTGATGTGTTATATGATTTATATATTATATTTTATTATATTTTA